GAGTCTCCGAAGAACCGGGGTCTACTCCGTACATAACAGCGCTTCGGTCTTTGGTATTTGACTTGTCGAAGGATTGTTGCTGAGGGGTAACATGGGAACATGGAGGGTTTCCACTGGCAAAGCTTGCTCACCGAGCCATCCCTCTAATTCCGAGCTGCTCCAACTATCCAAAGATTGGACGAGCCAGGCCAGGTGAGGTATGTTGATCCGGGTGAATGTTAACTTGGGGGATGTCGGCCACGCTCAACCATGCCCGCTGAACCTGTACCACCGTCCGGGAGTAACAGACCCAGCTCTCCACACCCTCCCAAAATATGCTTCCTTCCCATGTACGGATACAGTAGCCTAATGGCGGCTCTGCGAATTTCAGACTCTCAGGTAGACAACATTCATCTTCCATCTTCCGTCACCTAGCCTCGGCCAGCGATGCGCCGCATGTTCGCAAAGTTCTTTCTAAAGAGGTATTGTCTGGGCCTGCCCGGCCATCACACAGCAATTTGAGCCGGCCAGGTAGGTCTTGGTACCGAGCGCGGCGGGCACGGAGCCGTCGCCGCACATGTTGCTATAGTTCGGCCACCCTGTTGATTCTGTTATGCAAACATACCCCTACAAGACCCATCAACAGACAGAAACACGTGCCCAGAGCTCGCCCGAGTGTCATGTATCTGTACTTCGTTGATGTCAAGTTAATTAGTCCCTTGAGTCCAGGGCGAGTGTCAATCATGGTCCCCTAACATGGATCGGTCTCCGGGAGGATTTAGGATTCTGACAAGCGCACGGTGGCTCGTCGCGACTACTGGCAGCGAGGAAACGGTTCACTTAACGAACGGGAATGCCAGGGGCTATTGCATTGTTGTCTCGTTGCTCCACAACGACAACTGAAGGTTATTAATACCGTGTATCCGTATCTGTAGATAAAAAGTTCTGTTTGTGCATTCATATTCCTGCCACTTCCTGGGTACTTCTCTATTGCGGTTGATGCTCGACCCTTGGAATGGCGCAGCAGCAGCTGAGGCATGGAGATCGGCAATCCGCCAGCAACGCAGTCGGTGGTAGTCGGTGAGGGAGATGACGTGTCCAATTTGGAAAATGAGCAATACGACCGCCGCGTGCCTTTCAAGTTGACATTCAGGCGGTCAGGAGGAGGGTCTGGCTGGCGGTGAGGCCGAACACGCTATTCATGGTGATGGGAAGAGAGTACCCGTATGAATGAATACATGAATAGACCATCCGTATTAGAGCGGCGCAATGCCCATTGAAAGGTCCGACTTGTGGAAGGACTACATAAGATGCATCTCAGCACAATGCACACATGGCACCTTGCTTCCTTGCACCAACTTTGGGCCCCAAATGAACGAGGCGCCTAGCCAGATACTGGCAATGGCTACTCTGCCTCAATCCATCACCAGGCATCAAAAGCTCTGACAGCCTTCACTGCTACAGACAAGCTATTCGTTATCCCTGTCCAGCGAGCAAATCTCCTCAAACTCTATGGGACAATTGAGTAAAGCACAGCCGGAACTTTTGCATACCTGCTTAGTACTCACATGAATCTGATCCAGGCACGCCGGGGCAGCCGATACGAGTGGACTCCCGGGGCTCGACCGCTCGACAGTCGGAGACTCCCGCTCAACTTCATTCTGATTTCATCTCCAACGCCCAAGCGTAACTAATTCTGCTTCATATAACCCCTCATCCTCGAGGCCTCGACCACTGCTCTTCGTCGCTGAACCGCCATGACCTCCAGTAACCCCGGTCATCAAAAACCGCTTTAGGGGCCTTGTCTGCCCTGAATTGATGTCTTGCAGCTGTCAGGAGGGTCCTGAATATTGCTGATGTGACTCAAACCCCCCGTTCGACCCGCTCAGAGCACCCTGTTCAATATGCTGATCCTGCCTACTCTGCTAGGGGGGCCGTAACGTCGAGGCCGCACCGAATGCAACGGGAACAAACAACGAGTTTCCTCGTTGCATTCGAGAAACGGTCTCCGCAGAGCGACTCGCAGGTGTCGTTGCTCATGTGACGAGTTCCGGCTTGGGTGCTACATATAGAGTTTGCACGTTTTGGGTGGGTGTTTGGGCGTCAATCCCGCCACTTGTCTATGGATACGGATATGCACATTGCCCCCGTCCTCCACTTGCCAGATTGAAGGGAGAAAAGGGCCGTACTGGGTATTCCAGCCCTGCCAGACTCCTCTTCTCTTTGACACATCCGTAGAAATGTGCAATAGAGGGGCTACTGGCTAAGGACGCATGGATCCGTACTTGCAAAGTATCCGTACAACCCAAATGTGATGAACTTACACAGAACAACGGACAAGGATCAACTGTGTACCAGCCAGCTTCCACCTCACTCTCGCCGGCTTTAGCATTCAAGGTGGCTGACCGTCAATTACTGGCTTTGATTACTACTACCTGGAGGAAAAGAATCGACCGGTCAAGGTTGAAGCCTCCCATGTATGCGACTGCAGCTGTAATGGAATCCTATTGCCGGTTCTTCAGCCTGAAAATCCCTTGAAACTCAAATCATGCAGCCTGCCTCGTGGCTGAAAGAGTAAACTCTGACCGGACGGCGAGCCGGACCGGCCGGCGCACCCTACCCCTAGAGTACGGGGCCGAAATGGAACAACATCCCGCTCCGCCAACGGCATCGTGGATGGCCGAATCGTATAAAGGACACAACTTCGCACAAGAGCGAAACCAACGTCGTGTTGATGATGTTTACCACGTGGCTTAGTTCGTAATCACAACTTGTTTCCAACGTACGTTATGTATCCGTAGACTTGGTCACATTCGCATCGGGTAACCAATACAACCTCGAGTTGAGTCCGCTTTCTTACCAAATTTGCTAGGGCATCTGAATTGCCGGTCATTTATGAGATAGGGGGGACGACTTCCTCTCCAGATTCTTGTCTGTCGCTGCCGCCCAATACCATTTGTGAACTGCAAACTCATCTTGGTTGTCATTTTCTATTCTAACACCCCTAATGGTTAAGCTATAACCCCGTCTTCAGACCAGCAAAAAGTATACAAAGTTGTGAGAATGGAGTTTTATTCGCAGCGAACATGAGATGCGTTGTTCGTTTCCAACACATGCAAGCCAAACCAGCCATCCGACCCAGACAACAGCCACACAAAGGCGGAAATGACATAGTGAGATTGGCTGGCCGGGCGCTTGCTTCTCGGTCACTTGGCGTTGAATACTGCCGTGATGCACATTTGCGCTGTCTCCTGTTGGCTGTCTAGACGAGCAGGTTGCTAGGGGCCCGGGAGATCCATGCAGAGTTCAGTCCCCAACATCACTTAATTCGATACGTTTTGTGATAGCTGGCTTGTGTGACGTGATAGGAGGCGTGCTCTGCAGGTGGTTCGCTGCAAGCCTCTGTCTATTCTGCTCTAGCCTTTCTGCAGGCTTGACAAGTCTGCAATCCAGGTTGCTGCATCTATCGTACGAACACACCGTCATGCGTGATGTGGAGACATACCTGCACACGCCTGCAAGGTAGACTGTTGGTTCACTCAATGCATGTTCTATATTATGCTCCGACAAGATCACGATACTGACATGATCCAGGGGTGACGGGAATCGTTAACGATCAAAAGGCACATGAATTGGAGAATCTAACGAATTCTACATCTGAGTACGGAAAAGGTTCGGACCTTTGGCCGACTCCCCGATGTCACCTCGTTCCGCTGCGGTCATCTTCTTAATACAGCCATTGTCCCGCTCATCTCATGTAAGTGCCGCCAACCAACAACAAGTACAGCAAGCATCCCAAAACCAACGACCACATGTATTGCTCGACAACCACCAAAGACGCAAAGATCCCTGCTAAGATCCCACAGTTTCTGTAATCCGTTGGAGCCTCCGTACATTTTCTCCTCACGGCCAAGCCGTCATATCTTTGGTTTTCTCCAATGGTGGTCGAGCCAGTTCCCTGGACCCCGGGTCTTGAGTTGCGACGCGCACACGATGTTGTTGGTGCTCATCGTGGTGAACAAGCCGGCCAGTAGATCTTCATCGGTGACACATAACGGGCGTCTGGAGTCTCGGGCGGCCGACGCTACCTCGATCGGGCTGCGAGGGGTCTCGAACACCCCCAGGCCGTCTTTAGGTTTCTACGATTCTACCAAATTTCTTTCGTTGTCTTAATCAAATGGCCCTAGTTTACCAGAGTGGCAAACGATGAATAAGTGATGCTGTTTGCCGGAAACCCGGGCCAAGAACTCTTCATCGACGAGGATCGCGATCCTCCATGTTATTCCCGAAATCATAGCCTTTTCTTCGTTATTGGCGCGGCTGACTTCTTGACCGGTATTCCAGAAACGAGCCTGCCGTCCGAGAGACCTTGCTCGCTTCTCCGCATTCCTGCTAGAATGAATGGGTACGCAGTGTCGCAAGCCAAACACGTCGTCATGAGGAAGATGCCCATGGGATTGACGAAGAAGCCATGGGCTTCTGGCCAGTACCACCAGAGCAGACCGGTTGAGCCAATCCAACCGGTGAGGGTGCCAAGTGCCCTACAGAACCTGTCGAACAAGGGATCAGCGTAAGATGCCTGCTCATATGACCCGAAACCCCCTCTCACCGAATGCAGCGGGTGCTTGTCCTAGCTGAGCAAACATGACCGTCCAAATACGACAGAACGAGAGGGACCATGAGAACGAGAACCGGGAAAGAAACCCCACACATCGGAACCACTCCAGCGCCACAGCATTAGAACCCATGACCTGCGGATAGCTCCTTTGGAGTGACATAAAAACGCGTCAAACTGACACGTTTCGAGGATGGACGACGAGAAGAAGGAGCGGGTGTGAGGATACCGCACACCGGTGGCAGGGAAGACGACGCAAACACGGCACACAGTGAGATGTTCTGACCCAACACGCCGGTTACCCTCATCATGTTTGGATACTTTCTCACCCAGCGAGAGAAGACAATCCTCTCACTGATCCGATGAGGCACAGAAAGCGAAGGAAAATCAGACAAACGGAAAACACTCACCAGATCGCATAACTCGCGCCCCCAGAGTGACCTCTGACAAGCAACATCGCAAGACAGCCCGTCCCAAGGGCGAACTGCGCCAGACCAGCAGTCCAGAAAGCGAGCTCCGTACAATCGAAACCTTCCTGTCCGGCCCACCACTTGCCGCTCTTGTCTCCGTACCCGGTACCGGGCGCCGACAGCCACCAGTCTGCGACGGCGTAGTTCGCCGCGCACCCAAGGGCCACCATGATCGCAAGGATAATGCCGATATTCTCCGCGACAAGCGGCGCATGGTGCCACTCGTGTTTCGCGTTCTTGAGGGTCGTGTACACGAGCGGTACGTCAAGGAGTAGCCATACGAGGAAGCCGAGGCGTTCGAGAGGGTGTTCGGCGACGCGAGTTGCGTAGATGATCTCCCAGGAGAGGTTCAGCGCGAGGGCGAAGAGGGGCATGCCGTATGATTTCGTTCTGTGGGAGCGGATTGACATGAGTACGTAGCACATGTCCCAGAAGATGGCGCCGGCGATGAGAAGGGCGCCCGAGACTGGCACGACCCACGAAGGGACGTGAGGGGGAGGCGTGTCTGTCAGGCCCATCTTGAAGGTGGTGGTCTACTCAGATGCGCCGACTTGGGTGTCTTTGGAGTGTTGGTGGCCGTTGCAAGTTGTGATGGGGTTCGGATTTGGGGAGACCTCAGGCCATAGTAAGCGATCAGCAACTAGAGGTTACGATCATGTCTGCCTAAGCGCCAAGGATACTCTGTAAGCCGAATCGACGAGTCCCATCATTCACTCTTGAACTGATTCACTGAAGAATACAATATGCTCTCATTGGTTTCGTGCTAAGATGGCCTAAAGATGATTCTAGATCAGTTACCTTTCATGCAAGCTCCTCGTTAAAATGCACACTCGAAAACCAAGACCGGGCTAACGCGTCGCAAACGCGTCCAAGTTGACGCGATTCGATGCAGAAATTGACGGTCTTGTAGACTCCAACGACTCAAAATTACATCTGCTGATTACAGTCGCTCGTGAGGTGCACTTCAGCGACCAGCAGAATTGCGCTCGGGAGATAACCACTAAAAAATGCATGTGGACCATCACCACATCCGCATCTGTAGTGTAGTGGTTATCATCCTTGCCTTCCATTCCACTTCGGAATAGCAAGGGACCCGGTTTCGATTACCGGCGGATGCATCACGCGGATGATTTCATTTTTGTTTTTCCATCTTTACTTCTAAAAAGAGAGAAATGGGCCAACTGGCCTTGTTTGCACATCTAGTTCAATTGGCTTTGATTTCTTGGTGATGTGATCAAGACCTTCCGCCCAGAGGAGCCGTTTCGGGCTTGAACCAAAGCCAGAAGCAGATTGATGTTGCGTTAAGAGGACTGGAAGTATTCATCCAGAATGCGTATTAAGACAAAGAAGTTGAAGGATCATGAATAGGCTTCATCGTGACATTCCAGCCAGAAGAAACCGAAAAGAGACTGTCCAATGAGGAAGCCTCATCCATATGCAAGGCCAAAGGCAAATACTCAGCTGATATTTAAATCGTTTGCCTAACATGCACGCAAGCAAAATATTTACGCCCATGCAACTACGCAAATATAGAATAATCTTTATAGGATCTTTGAAACACCATTTTCCATTGGACCGTCTGTTCTGTTACGGTATGGTTTGACATGCTGGCCAGACTTGAATTTACTAATAGTTAACGGAAGAGAGGGACTCACGTGTTTCCTGTACCACCCAAAACTATTACGTCGGCAAGGCCCAATAAACTTTTCGAAAAGGGTTGAAATAATGAACTCGGAATCTCTGCTCAAATAATCTATTGTTACCTAGTGTCTTTAAGTGTGTCAACCGGTGAAGCTGTCACCGTAATCCACTACCGGGGGGCATGATACCTACCCCTCACTCAGATTGTCGGCATTGCTTCCGAGATAACGGCTCTCACCCGAGTGGTAGCCCAATGATCGTCGTCCAAACCACAAAACGGCATGCTTTGTCTACAGAACTGAACATAAGGGAAAGTTGCATGCCAACTTCACTCGACAGGATGTTCCCAAGAAAGCCACGGGCACTTCAGTCACTCCGTTCCGTGCGCCGGTCGTCAACCTTTTCCCAAGGCTTATCAGGTCTCAAGATCAACTCCGATCGTCTTCAAGAAACGATTCACCATACCTGCAAATGGGGAGCAGCTCACCGATATGGCAGGTTAGTCTCTCTTCTTTCCGAAAGAGCTTCTCAAGTTACTGACAACTCACGAGGGGCCCAAATGAAACCGGCATGGCCCGACTGACTCTCTCAGATGAAGATACCGCCGCAAGACGATGGTTCATAGAAGAGACGCACAAATTGGGTTGCGATGTCAAAGTTGATCAGATGGGCAATATATTTGCTAAGCAAAGAGGATCGCTGGGCTCGACTTTGCCTATGACTGCAATGGGCAGCCACTTAGATACCCAACCCCAAGGTGGTAGATACGATGGCATACTAGGGGTCGTTGCCGGTATCGAAGCACTTAAAACGATGAAAGAGAATGGCTATCATTCTAAATTCGATATCGGGGTCATCAACTGGACAAAGTACGCAAATCCAGCTTCCGCACGTCGAGCCCCTCATGGTTTCAGATTCACTGACTTAGCCCCGTAGTGAAGAAGGCGCCAGGTTTCCAGGCACAACAGTCTCCTCTAAAGTCTGGGCAGGAGAAATACCAATACAAAGCGCTTGGGATTTGAGAGATGTTTCGGACCCTTCCATCACCATGAAGTCAGAACTCGAAAGACACGGATACCTAGGGGAAACCCCGTGTTCGGCAACTCAAGGTTATCCAATAGGGGCGCATTTTGAACTACATATCGAACAAGGCCCTTTGTTGGAATCCAGAGGGAGAAAGATCGGAGTCGTCCGAGGCGTGCAAGCTTGCAGATGGCTCACTTTTGACGTAGTCGGTCGGAGTGCCCACTCAGGTACGACGCCTTATTCGGCAAGGAAAGATCCGCTATTAGCTGCGGCGAAGATGATTGCGATCTCAAACGAGCTGGCTCAGAAATCCGGGGCTTTCGTGACCACAGGAATCATCAAGGTTCCTCCGGGATCATCGACCAACGCAGTTGCTTCACAGGCAACGTTCACACTGGATATTCGCCACCCAGATGATAAGATCATCTCTAAGGTCCAAGAACAATGTCTCGCCTACTTTCAGAAGATCTCACGCGAGAATGGTGTGGAGCTGAGCTGGAGCATCGATGTGGATTCACCCGCCACCACTTTTGATGAGGACTGCGTGTGGGCCGTCGAGACGGCGGCGAATGGTATCGTGGGCCACGACGGCTGGCTTCGCATGACGAGCGGCGCAACGCACGATAGTGTGAATACGAGCAGGCATTGTCCAACGACGATGATATTTGTACCCTGCAAAGACGGCATCAGTCATCATCCAGAAGAGTATTGTAGTCCAGAGGACTGGTAAGTCATGATTGTTTTCAAAAGGCAAGGAGGTCTGTACTGAAAGTTTCTTGTTCTCTAGTGCTTTAGGGGCGCAGACGCTTCTCGATTCGGTCATCATTTACGACAACAGGAGACTGGCAAAGCTTCCATAGTTGCCCATGATGTTGAATTGGAGCCAGACTATTCAGTGCTTTGAGCTTCTATGGACGAGCAGTGAACACAAATCAATATCATTTGTAATAGCCATGTCATTCATTCATTACTACATCAATTAAAGTTGGAAAAAATGACTAACATGATCAATGAATAAAACAGATAATATGTGAATATTACACGCCACCATGGGATATAGTACACTGCTTTGCCTCTACCACGCAAAAGCACCATCGCTACCTTAACTACTTTCAATCCAACGGTTATTTTCTGTACTAAAGAAGGATGTAACTTCGTATATAAATCATAGACGACAGTGCCCAGAAATAAGCCAACCGTAGTTTGAGTTACGCTGGCATCGGGAATTACAAAGCCACTGTCACGATGCGAGCTCAAGGCCCCATCTATCAGGACATCAAGAATCCATGAAAGATTTTCACTCTCAACGAGTCGCTGTTCAATTTTCTGTGTCTGATGAAGGCTCCATGTCGGTCACGATGCATTGGCTTCAAGACACTTCGTTTTCTCGTCTCTCCTGCCCATTCAGTCTGCCCTCCCTCATAATTTTCATCGCTTTGGTGCTGGTCCTGATTCTGCGTATCTCCCACAGTCCCCGCAAAACGGAACTAAAAAACGCAACAACGGCAAAGGTGAAAGTTACTAATGCTACCCACGCGCCGTAAATCACCAACAACGCCAAAAAGCCCGCTTGCATCGCGATCGCGGTCCACAGAACCACCCACGCGCACCACGGCACCTTTTCTGCTGTGACTTGCGCTAGCTGAAGTCTGAGATTTCTCATCCTTAGTGCTGCTTTGAGATCGTCCTCATAATCAGCCTGCAAATCAAAGTCGATGGGCTACAACAAGGATCATTGCCAGGTCAACATAACTGCTCTGTATTTCTCACACAACTTTTTGAAAACTAAAGCAAGCGAAAGATAGGGGAAAGACGAGATTGACCCACATCGGCCCCTGACTCCATCAGAGAGGTCCTTGATCTGTTGGGTGTCGAAAGCCCGGAGTCCTGCCGACCGGCAAGGTTGGATCGTCCCGTTATGTTTCTCTCTTCATGGTCTATACCGTTCACCTGTATAATTCCAGTATTCGAACGCCCGGCGATGCGAGTTGGCAATGGTATCGTGATATTTGTGTGCAGGTCGCATTGTAAATCCGCTGAAGTGGTCGTATTTGACAATTCGCTTATTGGAATGGGCTCTTCTGTTGCCGAGGAGGTAGCGGCGTTCAGTACCACACCACTCTCCACGGAATTTTCAGAGTTCTCGGATATCTCATTTGTTGATGCCGCTCTGCTGTCTTCTATTTCTTCTAAATATATGTCAGTCAAGCTGTTATTACTAGATTCACGGGAAAGAGAGAAATGTCACTTACCTTTGGCGTCAAATACGTTGATGATAAAGACCATGAGGAGGATTAGAGGCAAAATCTGACCAAACTTAGGCTCTAATAACGATTCGATTTCTTCCTCCCCCGCCAAGGCAATCATGGAGACTAGGCTGTAAAGTAGATACACCGTGTATGACATGTCTTGGAAGAGGTTCCAAAATATAGAATCTACCACGTCGTTGATTAAGACTGGGATCGCTAGTTTTAGAGTATTAAAATGGTTCATGTGCTCGCTAGACAATTTATGGAGTATTGCTTCGTGTTCTTCGGTTTGATTTTGCGTCTTTTGCTGATAAAGAATTCTAAAATATTTTCTAGATTCCTCGGTAAAGCACAGAAGGCGCAGAGTGTTGTCTTGCAGAGGAAGAAACGAGTAAAGCCGGGCAATGGCATCGTAAAAGCTCTTGCCGAAGACCCAGACGAATGCAACTGCGGCAAGGATTGACAGCCAAGGGGGTCCTGAACCTCTTATTGCGCATGCGGCAACTTTGTCCCAGTTCAGGGAAGTGAATAAGTCATAAAGAATACTGCTAGTCAGAAGAAAGACGACGAGTAATGTCAAGAAAGTTATGCGTAACTTTGCCTGCCTTTTATGTAGTCTTAAGTACGGTGTCAGGCCATTCAGGCAGTTTGTATGAACACCGAAAGAGAGGAAGGCAAGTGATACGCCCACAGAAAACGAAAAGGACGAAATCGTGAGTATCTGGGAGTATAATGCGACCAGAAGCGCGCAGCTGGTGACTGAAAGCTGGTCGCTTATGGTTAAGAGAAGATGCTCATATCTCACACCACGCAAGCGAGAAATCTTCGATTCGTATGCCCCTAGTCTCTTGTGTATCATGGAGTCCATCTGCGTAAACTCTTCTGGGTTCGCCCTGCGAGTGACGTAAGCCATGATCATGATGATATGGGATGCTAGGACCGGGAAAACGAAGGACAATAGGACCTAATCTGCGTCAGTACTGAGACAGAACCCTTTGAAGAGGCAGGCTTACCCCAAATCCCATGATATCAGGGTCGGTCAGATCCTTGGCAGCATCTGTGCAATTAACCATATTGTCGTGCGACTAGCATTGTCTCTTGCAGTGGGAGAATTGTATTTTGTATTCAGATTCCTTGCGATGTGAGAATCATGGGAAAGGGTCATATTTAAGAGACTTTCGAGTGTATATATACAATCCATCTGCAGTCGGGCAAACCAACTGTTCTCCGGGCCCTTTATGGCTAAGAAGCAGGTTCCGGCCAGCATTCATGCCACATTTTCCTACGCCAAACGAAACAGATTCACGAGACAAGATCATTCTTCCACTTTGGAGAGTATGCCTGGCGATCGTGACGTCAAGACCAGGCGAAGCTCTCAGTAGCCATGCAGGCTGTCATTCGAAAGCTGTGCCGTGCGGCAGGCTCTGAAGATGGGGGTGGACAAAGCTGGCTGAACACGCATCCAAATTCACTAGCCGTCACTTGATTGGGGAATCGCGGTAGGAAAAAACTGCAGAACATTTCAATACGAACACGAACTTTTGCATACCTAGTGTCTTTGGCAACAGCTGAAAGGCGATGTTGCCGTGGCATGACATATCGCTTAAGGTGGTAATTGGGTGTCTGTCGGTCCCATTCCCACTTCCCGCGACGGAGGTACGGCCAATGGCCACATAGAGAGAATTCTGGTGATTGGTACGTGTGCAGTGACAGAACAAGACGATGCATTTATATACATCCACGGTCAAGGACCTACGAGTTCTCGCGAAAGTAGGAGAGAATCGTATGAGGTACCTGTTCCCATGTCATACATCGTTAATGTAAGAAGGCCACATTACAAATCTACTGTTGTGCTTCCGTCCAAAATCCTCGCCAAAAGCTCCAACAAAAGGTCCAGCGCATTTTCATTTCTTTCGTCATTCCGAGCACACCCTCTTTTGCCCCCGATGTCGCGGCATTCTGACCTATCATTGGGGACAGCTGCCGCGTGGCATAAGTGTGGTCAGCTCCCTGCAGCACATACCGGACCTGGGAGATCGCATGTGGTTTATTTAGGCCACTACGATTTGTGCTCATGATTAACGGTTGCGGTTCTGGTTACTTAAGCCCATTCACTCCAAAGGTGTCATCTGGCTGGCTGGCCCCGAAGGAAGCAACGCTTAGACACTTCTTGAGGCTGGAGGCGTTTTGCTAACTACTTCTCTACTTTAGCGTATTGGAAGCGCAGACTCTTCTATGATCTACTATCATTTTCGGCAACATGAGACAAAGAAAGCTTCAATGGCTACCAACGTTCGGATTCCACCCAGAACCTATTGCTCGAATCCCTGCGAATCCCCTCACTTGAAAATTTTTGATGTTTCAGCGTTTACCAATTTTACTTGATTCCGTCTATTCAGAACCCCAGATCAAGGTAGAAGGAACTGTGAACATTGATATCTTTCAACGATCCCGCGCGGAGGGCACTCCGCGCGAAGATTTCGACATGCTGTTCGGTTCCCCAGCTTCTACAGACTACGCGTAACTCAGTCCCATGTACTCTGCGTGTAAATCCTATGGTATCCATCACACTGACTCGCACCCCTTTGTAGTCAGTCCAGAGGAGGTTTCATTGTCCCTTTCTAGAAAAAGTGAGAACCTGTATAAGTAGCTTTTCAGGCATATTGATCCTTCGGTCAAACGAATGCCGAGCACGACGCGAATTGAGAGCACGTTGTCGCTTGTTCCTACAAAGGTACTCGCGATATCGCTCTTATGGATGTCTCTGCCTAACGCGAGCTTCCGCGCGCGTATGGAATGTGAGGCATCTAAACTATTCATACCGGCATCCCACTCAAATTCAGCCATGATGCCTGCCCCGAATCATTCGCTCGACCCCGAATACAACGTAAATATATACCCGTGCCTGAATAACAGATCCTAATAATTACGTGCATCCACTTATTAGGCTCTGCTAGTGCTTATCGTTGTAGCCTTCAAAGTGATTGTCATTGACCGCCAGACTGGTAAGCTTTTGTGATGGAACCCGGTTAGATTTCATCTCATATGGTGCACAACAACCATTATTCTTACATCGTGCCTTCTTCTGCTATTTGAGAACTATACTGCGACTATCGAAGGCCTGGCGGTTCTGACATCAAAAGTACCATTATGCTTCCAGCCGCAGTGAGTTATTCCTAGCGGAATAGTATTAGCGGGGGCTTCTTCTAACTCATCATGCCAAAGCATCGACGTAATCACCAAGATCATATGAACGATACAAATGAACAACCCGGACTGGAGCTGGTACCAGATGGGCAACCGAGACACATAACAAATTACTCAGATGCCCATGTCGCTGTAAACTCATATCATCATTCCTTTGAAGAAACTGGAAAAGAAGCAATTCCGACCACGAACTACACCCAAGTCGCGAACGTCGAGAATACCCCAGAGCCAATCCCAAAACGACGCAGGAGATGTCTTTGGCTTATAGCGGGTGGCATAACACTCCTCGTCGTAATCCTATCCGCTGTCCTTGGAGGAGTTCTCAGCGGTAGAACAGCAAAACCCTCAGTAGACGAACAAAAAGCGCCATCCCCAACCGCAACTTCACAGACAATACGGCAGGGCTCTCCACTGGCTGTAACGGGGTGGCGGAAAAGCAACGGCGTAGAGATCTTTCTCTTCTACCAGGACGTCAACAGCAACGTACGACGCTCAAGGTACGAAGAAGTTCCGACGTCGTCGACGCTAGGGAATACTTCTTGGCATGCACCCGAAAAGTACAATTCATTTGCAACAAGTAGAAGCCGACTCGCTGGGTCTATTATCCAATATGGTACCGGCGCGGTGGTATGTTGAAGTTCCTTCTCGAAACTGCCCAGTCATCTAAGGGAACCGTTTTCCGTCTGTACCACTAACGACGCGTCGCTTCTTCTTAGCCTCAAGTTGAGATGTTTTATACAAACGACGATAATCGACTTCTCGGTTTAAGTATAAACGAAGCTATCAGTTCGGGTTACGAGGAAGACAGTATCAAGAACACGAAGCTTGCTACCGGCAACAATAGCAGCGTGGCCGCGTACTGGCCTTGGATCACTTACCAAGGGCCTGACCAAAGTTTGTTCGAGGTGCGGAACGGCTTGATAGAAGACGACTTGCGCCCGTCAACTGTCTGGGGTGTAAGAAAGCTCGACATCGTAGCGGCAGAGGCAAGTCGACTTGCCTTGGTACCGCTGTCTTCGAACTTCACTGCGATCGCCGATCAGGGAGCGTATGGGATCATCTATCAGGCACCGAACAATAGCCTCATGATTGCCACTCCTGGAAATAGTTCGAACGAACTTGCGGCTACTTATGCTCTATTTTGGCCTTCAGGTAAGTGGCAAATCAACAACTTTTGTTGTTTCGGCTGGGTGCTGAGGAAACTTACAACTCTATAACTAAACTTGACACATTTGACTTATTATTCATGTATAGGTTTCACGGTCCCCACGATCTCAAAGGGCGGTTCTTTCGCCGCCTTCTCCCTGGCTCGACAATTCGATGCGTTGCAACGAGTGAACGTGTACCTCCTCTTCATCGATGCGTCGTCATCCAACATCAATGTTCTTCGCAACAGTGCGTCAGGCTGGGAGCTGACCCAGCCGACTGCATTGAAAGCCGTGGATTTCGATTCAGACATTGCGTGCCTGACAATGGCAACGACGTACAGCGATTCCAATGGAAGCCAGGTCCTTCTTGGGCAAGCGTTGAGCGAGACGAGATGTTATTTCCAGAGAGGTGATTTGGTGAGAGAAGTTATGCTGAGCGGGGATGACTGGGTTGATCTTGGAAGTGTACCGATACCATAGCTACTAGAGATGAGTTGAAAATCACTGGCAATAGACATGTGTGTTGTCTGCACAGCATACTTGGATCGTTGATTAAGTATCAATGAAGTCATTGTTGCAGCCGAGTCCAAGTTAGAACTTGGAGGGGAATCTTTTCCAAAATATCATTGTAATAATCTAAGACCAGCATCCAGCAACACCTCGAACACCTCTCGGACCTAAGGTAGTTCCGTACCCAAAAGTACGCAGCCTCTGTTTGTCTACGAGCAGTTCGCAATTCCCGATCCGATAGGAATACATCCATTGCCAAGTTTCTTACACGGGTGGCCCTATTACACAAACAAATTAGCAACTCAACCCGTTTAAACCAGACAAAGATGGCGAGAACCATGTTCAAAAAAGAAAAGTGACAGAGAAAACTTTACCTGGCCACAAGTCAATTCCGTCTTCAGGTCGCCATCCCAAAGGCATGTACCGAGGTCACCTCCCTTAGGAAGTCTGCAGTTCTATACCCATCCGTCAGCTACAGTACGTCGTCAGAGTCCGTCTAGGTTCACACATACCCACCATCCCAGTACCGAAGGGAGGAAGCTGGCGAAAAGAACGGCGTGGAACTTCATGTTCGTTTGGGGTAAATTATGTACAAGAATCAATCACTGGTAGGTTATCTGCGACGAGGATATTTGGTGCAAAGGTAGAGACTGACAACAGTTGAGGAGTACTCAAACAGCAAGTCGTGCACAAAGAGATGAAAGACCAGCTATAAGTATCACCGATGATCACGGAGTAGTCCGTAATGCCGATCTTCAACGGCGGACAAGCCGCGTACCCGAAACCAGCTTCGACGGGAAATTCTGCACTGAGTCGCGCGCAACGAGGCTTGGAAGAGGCACGTTCACGGCTCAACGTGTTATTCAAACTCTAATTGACAAGTTCATCCCAGCAACAATTATTGGACGGGGCGAGTACCAATCACACAATAAGCATAGGCAATGCAGCCCTGTAAGGAGTGCCGTCTGATCCCGCGGGACGCACGGCTTCAGGGGACAACCCCATAGGTTACAACTGCCGGCGGTTTGGGTTCAACGGCGCCGTGAGTGATACTCTGCGAGCATTGTCGCGATTTGCGGAGTCTTCCGACGTACAAATACTCTCACTCAAAGGCTCGGATTCTTCTCCCAGTGAAGTCATATTTCCGTCGGGGACTGATTGCCGATACTCTTCCTCACTACCTACGCCTCGCGACGCTACTAAGTGAAGGGCTGCTCTATGGTCCGTGATGCTTGCGAGATATGGCAGGCCAGGCCATCTTGGAGAACGTGCGCCATTCACATCCTAGTCAGGACGGCAACGAAATGAGCGCGCCAGGGCCCAGGACAGACCGAATCCGCCGGGTTTGATTTAATTATGGAAAAGAGATTGCCAAGCTGTCAGTCGTTCTCTTCCATCTATTGGCCTTTACGAGGTAGAAGACTGGGCGATATCACCCGACCAAGCTGATTGTTATATCAAGTTCAGCACTGTTCGGGGTTGAAACGTACATGCACAGTGAGATCAAAGAACCTCTTCTCATGCTATCTGTTAAAGCCTAGAATGGAAAATGTATGCACAGCAGCAAACGCCTCAGGATTCTTTCCTAGATGGAAGGCAAGCCTCAGTAAAGATCCATCCTCGACCAACTTAGTCGTCATAATAGTCGTCGCCGTAGTCATCGCCACCATAACCATCGTCGTAATAGCCACCATCGCCATATCCGTCGTCACCATAACCGTCATCATAAGCGTCACCAGCATAGTTATCGTCGTTGCGAACCTCGTCAGCGCCCGGCTCATCATCATATACAGCCTCGCCATATCCAGTGGTGTGGACAATATAGTCCTCGTAGGCCCCCGGCTCATCGTCGTAGATGACTTCAGCATATCCGGTGGTGTGTACGATACCACGGTCTTCATCGATACTAGCATCATCAGCGCCCTGCTCATCACCATAAACGACCTCCCCATATCCGGTAGTGTGCACGAGATGGTCCTCATCACCATACTCCCGATGCTCCTCCGGGCCCCTCTGATTCTGCTCCTGAAACCCTTGCGCGTACTCCTCTCCTTCGGGCACCTGCTGATTTTCATCACTCCAAACAAAACGGGAGTCATACTCGGGCCCGGACGGCAATTCGGACCCCATGGATGGTACAGGCAAAGACGGCTGTACTTGATCAACCTAATCATCGTAGTAGTCGCCGCCCTCCTCGTAATCCCCCCTATCAGACCCCCGATCGCTATCATCACGACCTCGATAATGGTCCGAGGATCCAGACGAAGAACGGCGCTCGTGATGATGCTCGTGATGATCAGAGTCTGAATCAGAATCTGCGGAAGTTGTCAGTTTTCGCGTTCAATAATCGCCCAGACCGCGACCCGGAAAAGATGAGTGATTGTTACCTAGAACATTGGCAATAAGAGCGCCTCCCAACGCACCCACCGCGAGGCCACCAGCCACGCCGAGGAACATGTTGCTGTTCCCGCCCTTCTTCTTTTTCTTCTTCTCTTCGCCGCTGTATCCCTGTTCATACTGCTGTCCATACTGCTGTTGAGGCTGCTGTCCGTAGGGCTGGCCGTACTGCTGGGGTGGCTGTTGGCCGTACTGTTGAGACTGCTCATACCCATGGGGCTGGCTCTGTCCGTATTGCTGTCCGGCATAGTACCCAGCTCCGGCTCCCGCAGCTGCCGCAGTGGCACCGCCCGCATAAGCTCCGTATCCGGGCTGTGGAGAGTGGCCTCCGTACCCAGGTTGTGGAGACGGTCCGCCGTATCCCGGTTGAGGTGGTGGGCCTCCGTACCCGGGCTGTGGTGAATGCCCCCCATAGCCAGGCTGTGGCGAGTGTCCGCCATATCGAGAGGCTTCCCCATACCCTCCATGGCCTGGTGGCGACATTGGCGGGGGAGACATGGCTGACGGTGGCGGAGGAGCCTCCCACTGCGAAGAGCCAGTTGCTTGATTGACGTAGTACCATCGTCTGCTGTTGTCGTCAAACCGCTTGACCCATCCCTCTGGCAGTCGCGGCGAAGGCGGTCTTCCGTAGCCAGGTGAAGGGGGCCTCCCATAACCAGGTGAAGGGGGCCTTCCATAGCCCGGCGAGGGAGGACGTTCATAGCTTTGCTGTTGTTGCTGCTGAGGAGGATACGGGCTAGATGATGTGGAATCACCATACCTACCGGGATGCGGAGTGGGATACTGCGGTGCGGTACCGTAAGCACCCGCGGCGGCGCTGGCAGCTACGCCAGCGGCGACGGACGACATGGCACTGCCCTCGGAGACGGGATCGGAGTAGGCGGAGCGCGTGGGGTCACTGGAGCCGAAGGCGGCGGGGTGCTCGCGCTTATACTCGTCGGCGCCATTCTGCGGACCACCGGCGTATCCCGCAGGCGGTCTGCCATCGTAGCCTTGGCTGTGGGAACCGTAGTTGCTGTACCCGTAGTCCTGGTGGCCTGTGATGTATTGTTAGAATTTGGTGTTGTGATGCATCTGGAGATTAGGTAGGTGGGGGTCTTGCGAGATTGTGAGGGGCAGATTGAGGTCGGAGGTTTGTCGCAGAGCATCTCATTTCGCTCACTCACCTTGGTTGATAATCTCTGGGTCGTCGGGGATCTTGAAGTTGCCCAGCTGCGATGCCAGCTTTGCGACGTCAAAGTTGCCAAAGAGCGACATTTTTTCGCTCGCCCCAGGCTGTTGTGTTTCTTCTCTTTCTTTCGGTAGTGACAGTTGGGAGTTGGAAGGATGAGAGAGAATTGCACGTGGTTGGCGGGGGATTTGACGTGTCGTCGCGGGGTCAAGTGACCAAGGTAAGGTAAAGTAAGGTGAGTTGGGCCGTAGGGGGCAAAAAGGGAGAAAAAAAAAAGAAAAAGAAAATGGCTGAGGTAAGAAAATAAGGGGGCCTCCCGACGGGATCGAATCGAGCCTAAGGGAAAGAAGGTGCGCGCCGTGTGACGGGCGATTCGTAATGGGATTCCTTGGGCTGCAGGTGCGACTGCACGTCAGATTGGCTTCCTGCCCGTTTATTTCGGCAGATCGGAACGCAGATGGCGGGTAATTTTTCTGGGCTTTTTCTGGTTGCTTCCAGGTTACCTCCAGGTTCCATTCTGTTGTTTTGATCGTCTCCACGTTTACTCGCTTCCACTGCGTCGTCCGAACTTGGCACTCGGGACCACCCGTTCATCCCATAGGGCTGAAGACTGTGCGCTCGCTCACTCATTCACTCACCCAGTCGATGATCACTTATACTGAGCTTAAATGAGGGGAATCCGAGTGAGAGTAAACCCCTTGAGAGATGAGATGAGATGAGCGTGTGAGGCGTGGATCAGGTCCAGCGTAATCAATACACGCTTAAACCAGTCAGGTCGAACACAACGTCATATACTTCATCATTCAAGCCCATTAAGATGCATCGCTATGTTATGAGCCGTCCAGAAAGGAGGCTACTTCACAGGTCGCAATGGCAATAGCTAAGTATGCTACACATTCCGAAGTCCACACAAAATCCTCCACACTCACTCAGTCGCCCCCGTCGTAGCAGGTAGAGCAGGCTTCTGCCCATACACCACATGCCTACACGCACGAAACTTGTTAGCCACAAACAACCTCCGAGTCACCGGGCGTCTACCTTGAACAGATGAAAAGAAGGGAGAGCAAGGAAAAGGATAAAAACTCACAAATCCAACAAAGCATGAAACACCCCCGTCTTCAACTCCCGCCTCACCTCCGCAAGCTGCACCAACACCTCCTCCTTACTTCTCCCCAAAACACCACAGAGCAACTTCAACGAAAACCCTTCCAACCCCTCGAGAATCTGCGCCAGGTTCAGCAGCCCCTGGTCTTTGAAGTGCCGGTGCCGCGCCCACGGCCCGATGGGCGTCTTGAACTTGTGGTGTGCCACGTGCTCGAACCCGCCGTGCCCACGCACCCAGCCCTCGAGCTTAGGTCCCGGTCGGGGATCGCGCCCAATCTTGTCGAGCGTCTCGACAAAAGTCTGATTCCATTCGTAGGTCGCGTGTTCGGGTTTGTAGCTGCCGTCGTCGGAGTAGTATTCTGTGCTCATGTCTTGGAACTCGGCCCAACCTCCTGGGTTCAAGTTGCTGTGGAGGGGTGATTAGAATAAAGATGAGTCAAGTCAGAGGGAACGAGGAGATGGCTACGTACTCGTAAATGTTGGCAATTAGCTTCGGCCAGTCCTGGATGGAGGCGGCCATGTATCGGCACATGATGAAGTCGTACTTCTTGACGCCAACCCATTCGCTCTCGACATCGTCAATCTCAAACTTGACGTTCGGGGGTACCCTATAGTCCAAAGATAAAGAGTGAGCTTTGGAATCATCAAAGAGTGAATCACGCTTAGACTTGACGCACCATTCAGGTTGGATAGCGCTCAAATCATTCCCGATAACCTACCCATTTCTTAGCAAATCGTTTACCTCACTCATCACGAACTCACCTCGGCATTCTCAAAAATATCGCCAATCTCAACAGCCCCTACCGCAATCGATTAGCAATGCATGGCTCTGAATCAGAAAGTCGCGCGCGGAGACCTACAGATTCCAGTACCCGTGCCAATATCCAGGATACGATGGATCTTTTCCTTGGCCAGCGGTGCCAGCCAGAGCTTGCTTCCAATCGCCCTCACCATCATTGCGTGGGCCATATCGAGGCGCTCCATCTCAACCTCGTCGTTTGGAAACGAGTACGCTACATGAGCGCGTCAGTAGACTGAAAAGGGTTCCGTCTCTTGTCATTGCGGTCAGGCTGAAGTAAGAGTAGACTCACAGCCCGGTCTGAACGCATGATAGCGACGGCCGTATTCTTCCGGATAGTCGATGACGCTGGATGATAGGGACGCAGTGTAACTCGAACTATCTCATTCATCTGTATTAGAAACGAAAGGCGCCATGAATGAGATGGAGTGGTAGGAAGCCCAGAAGGCCATTACAGTCTATCATCGATCGAAGAGTCGTTATCGCTCTGCACGAAAACTGTCAGTAAACCATAGCTCAATCTATAAGAAGGGGTGCTGAGCTGTGACGCACTGCAAACCCCTCATCAGCTTCAACTGGGTCATCCTGCTGGGCTGGATCAATCGCAACGGCTGGGACGACTCGCGATGGAGTCGTCGTCGATGCCGGGTCTGCGGACGCGACACCGGCTGCGGGTGCGATCTTGGGAGGCGGTGTGCCCGGTGCTTCAGCCATGATGTGCGCCTTTTTCGTCTCACGGGCAAGAAAAGAGTGTATGTAAGACCTTGGGGATAACACTAGTGAATCGTGCCGTTGCTAGTAGTCTCCCGTATTCCGCGAAATTACGATTCTGATGAGGGCAGATAAATCGTGACCGCGCGCGAGATCGGTCAGACTGGACTTGCTCCGTCTGAAAGGTAGGGGAGCTCCAGTTTTTGTATCTGCCCGTTTCCAGGTTCGCTCCCCTGCCCTTCCATGTCTCTGCCAATGTGTGGCTTGCTGAGGGGTTCATCTTTCGGTAAGGAACCTTATCCGAACTTGGACCAAACGACAAGCCTGACAGGCCTATATAGAAAGCAGCCAGTCTTACAGACAGGTAGACCGCCCGGATGCAGAAGAGTCAAACATCCTCGTACGGGGGATTCGCTAGTCCGCATCCCATTCCCACCGCTCACATCAAATTGCAGGGCATCCGCCGAGATAACCCAGAAAGATGCGTAGATTCCAGTCCAATGGAACTCGGGACCGGCATTGCCATGCTTGCTCTGCGTTGCTACCCCTCTTTTCCCCCTGCACGGCGAATAAGGGTCTTGACCCGTTTGGGCCATGATCCGAGTTCCCGGTCGACGGTACCGCAGACGAGACACCACTTCAGGAGTCAGGGCGACCGTATGCGACCGCATGCTGTGTCAGTAGACACCCAAGATAAATAAGGTACCATGCGCATCACAGACATATAGAACACGAGGAATTCTCAAGTTATTTCAAGTTCGTAATCATCATTCGTAATAATAAAAGTCCCATCCGCCTCTGTCCGCAACGAAGCAATAGGGTATAGAACAGGAGTAGAACAAGAATCGAAACACTCGCCTCGCCGGGCGGCCACGATGCAAATAAAAAGGCCCAGAAAGACCTGAAAAAAGTATGAAAACAATCCCAACGCCCATAGCTATGCTTTTTTTGTGAAGTCCCCTATGCGATGCGAATGCCGTTCGTTCCTCCCCTTCAATGCAATTCCTCCATCCATGATTCCTTCCTTCAAACAGCGAAGCCAGCCATCCTTATTCAGCGAGTCTTTACTTCTTCGCCGTGCGAGCGCTGCGCTTGGCAGGAGTACCATTGGCACTCAGGCCCAACTCCTTCTTCGCCGCGGCAGTGGGCTTCTTCGTTGTCTTCGCGACCTTGGCACCCTCCGTCTTGGGGGCAGTAGCCAACTTGGACTGAGTTGCCTTGGTTGCCTTGGCTGCAGTCGTTTTGGCTGGCAGGGTCTTGGACGTCGCTGCCTTCGTCGTCGCAGCCTTGGAGGTCGAAGCCTTGGCAGTTAAAGCCTTGGTCGTGGCAATCTTGCTTGTGGAAGCTCTGGCCTTTCTCGCCTTTCCGACCTGCTTCTCCTCGTCGGGACTAAGCTCAGCAGAGCTAGAACTTGCCTCATCAGACTCGATGGTAGGGACAGAAGGATCTTCCGACTGGCTTCTAGCCAGCTGAGCTGCCCACTGAACACTCTTATTGTTCTTCTTGGCAGCAGCAGCGGCCGCCCGAGTTTCTATCTTGGGCGGCGCAGTCTTGATCGCCTCGAGCATTTCCTCCGCAGAAATCGCATCGCCCTTATTGTTGCGGGTATTCTGGCGGGTCAAAGCCGCAAGGTCCTTCTCTCCAGCTCTAATGTTACTCATTCCCTTGTTTCTAACGGGGATCTTGGTAACTGCCGGAGCCTCTCCACGCGCGACGGCGAGCTGACGTCTGGTGCGCACATTCGTCACAGGAGTAACGTCGTCCTCATCGGCGGGCTTGTCGCTGGCCTTGCTTGTAGCCGTCTTCGCATCCGGAATGTCGGCCTTGGCTCTGCGCTGGCGTTTCGGCGGCTGCGGCTTTTCTGGCGATGCCTCTCGTTCATCAACTTCCTCAGCCTTGCGCTTGGCTTTCTTGGGGCTCGGGCTGTTAACATCGAGAGATCCAAGAGGCTGGCGTCCGGTCGACACAGCTGGAGATGCCCTTCTTGCGGAACGAGAACGATCTGCCGATGACGTGATCGAGAACGCCGGTGTATCGGCCCAGATGCTTTGGTTGCGCTCTGGGGTTGCAGCTAGGAGAATGGGAGCGGACGCAAGAGGGTCAGGCGAAGAGTGTGCAGCGACAGGTTCAACGACTGGGGTGGGAGAAAGAACAGCGGGCTCAGCGGGCTCGACAGGCTCGGGGAGAGTAGCCATGGCAGCTTTCCTAGCGTTGTGTTTGGTCACGAACTCCCTAAGTATGACCAAAGAATCGTCTTCTTCCATGGCCGCGGCAGGCGCCTGTGAAGGCACCTGCGCCACCTCCTCTTCCACTGCTTCGACCTTGGCTTCCTCTGCTGTCTTCTTCTCACCCTCTGCCTCAGTGATTGGGCGAATAGGCGACAACGCGGTAAGTGTGGCCGGCTCGGTGGCAAGGTCAACAGTATCGACAGGCTCTTCGACGAGTTCTTGCTCTTGGGCGAAAAGGGCAGCATGTTCGTCCGAAACCTTAAATCGGACAATCAGACGACCTCCCTCTCTGCTGACAACGACTTTTCCATCCATATCCGTCTTCTTGGCCTCCTCAAACACGCGAGCAAGAGATGCGAGCGCCTGGATCGGGGATCCAGAGTGGTCCTGGAAGGAGCCAAAGATGTCCGGATTCTCTCTTGCGTCGACGACGACAGGCGAAGGTGACGGTGACGGTGTTCTCTCCGGAGTAGCTTGGGCAGCCGCCGCAGATGCTGAATCAACCTCGAGGGGACTCTGCACCGCGTGGAGCTCAACCGACGAATCGGGAGCACCCACCAGCGACTCGGATGCTGGATCTTGAAGATCCTGCACCACAGGAAGCTGGGCGGGGCCGGCAGCAGGAAGAGACTCTCGGCGGAGAGGGGCGGAAAAGGAAAGGCGACGCGCAGCAGGCAGTGACTTGCGCTTCTTGAAGGGAGAAGTCTCGCTGCGATTCTTGAAGAACACCATTGGACTCGCGACTTCGACGGCAGCGGGCTCGTCCTCGTGTTCGGCCTCAGTTGCCTCGTGGTCCGTCTCGGTCATCTCGAGAGTAGATGCGAATGAGGGTATTGCAAAGGTGAAGCTGGGTCGAATGGGGGACGACAGAGGTGAGGGCGACCTTTCCTCAACGACTGATTGGAGTGTGGCAAGCTTGGCCTCCAGATTGGCAGCGCCTCTAGCGAGCCTGGTCTTTCGGCTTGAGCTTGAGTGATGTGTAGCCGTCGACGGGAAGTGAGGGAGCTTGGTAGTCGGGCTTTGAGGCTCCTCCTCTTCTTCGATAACCGAGAAGTCGGACTCTCCAAAGATGGCAATGGGCTGCCTGACGTTGCGATGCTTGGGCTGCTCGCGACCGTGAACCCTATTGGACTCGCGAATGGCAGTCTCAAGCACCCAGTCAAAGCTCAGCTCTGGCATCGGGAATGCAAGAAGAGGCGCCATGATGGTGTGAGTCAGCAGGCCATTGTTATAGGCTCGCTTTTTCTCGCCGTCATAGTTCCTCTTCCCACATGTCGGGACGATGGGCTCACCGTACTTCTCCACCTCCTCGTGGTATTGGCGTCGCTGATCGTGAACAGAGGGGCCGGTGGGGAGGGCCTTGAGGTCGTTGCGCAGGACGCGGCGAGCTTCGATCATGTTAATCACGCCGCTTTCGTCCACATCCTCCAGCCAGTACGGCTCCGAGTCGTCCTCTGCCGTGGGCTCGGCCACCCTCTGCCTCTTGCGAGGACAGAGGGCGTACGCCAGACCGCCCTTCATGGCAATGTGCCGGAAGCTGGCGGCGGCCTCGAGCTCTTCCATGGCGAGGGACTCGGCAACCTGTCTTGCGATGGCCTTCTCGAACACCAGGCCCCTGGGCTTCCGGTGCTTTGTGCGGGGAATACGGGCTCGTTGCCGGGCGAAGCTGGGCACTGGGGCGAGCGCAGTAGCGATATCGAAGTCGGCGTAGCTCTCGGGGTCGAAGGGGGTACTAGGAAGGGGCACGTCAGTGAGGGTGTATACAGCTGGGAAGGAGTGGGCCTACGAGAACTCATTCGCTGCTTCCGAAAGTTCGGTAGTGGCGAAGGTGTACGGTTGCTGAGACTTTTTGGGAGACGGGGCGAAGTCGGAAATCATGGTGATATCGGCCATGGTGATGTCAAGCTTCGAAGGAGACTCAAACCCGCCAGCCTCCTCCTCGCCCTCCTCATGTTCCTCCTCCTCTGCCGGGGACTCGCTGGCGGCACGGGTCTCAGCCTGCTGTTGATTCGAATCGGAATCGCTACGCGGAGACCGGTCGTTGGAGACGAGGGATGAGTTCGGAGAGGTAATCGACATGACAGAATAGTCTGAGACAGCAGGCTTCGAGGGACTCGACTTGGGAGAGAGATTGCGAGCGAGCTTTGGTGTCGACGTAGTGAGGGACTGGAAACTGGCGTCCGCAAAGGACACCTTCTTCGGGGATGGGGTCCTGGTCGGGGCATCCAACGGCATTGTCGTTGAAAGTCTTGCAGCGCCGGCCTTCAGTCTCGGGGTCTCAGCTGTGCTGAACTTCTTGATTGGCGAAGCAAGAGGCATTGGGGCGAATCTTGCAGGCTGTGTTGTGGCCGCGGATATGGGCGTAGCGCCTCCCTTGGTTGGCGTGGTAAAGTTGAACTCCGAAAAGGCCATATCGACATTAGCGGTACGGTCCTGGGTGGGCTCAAGGTTCGAGAAACCGGCCGGCGCCCTCTTGGGGCTGGCGGTGCGGTCGCGGGAGGAGCGCGCGGTTGGGGAGGGCGTCAGGTTGCCCGAGGGCGGATTAAAGGTCAACTTTGGAAAATTCATCGCGTATCCGTATAGTGGCGGCGACTGCGAGACATTGACCAGATGATCGGATGACGATGTTAGAGGGTGCTTGTGGGATCTAGCGCGGGAGCTATGGCTTCAATGCGACGCGGCGCGGAGAAGGCTCTCGGACGTGATCGTGGGAAAAAGTGGCCGTGGAGGCGCGATACGATTTGGGGGCCGAAAAAGGAAGATAAACAAAGCGCGACTGCGCAAAACGGGGAGGAAGATTGGATGCAGAACAACCACCGGGTTGAAAAGCCAGGAGCCAGCTGAAAAGAATCCGATTGAAGATTGCAGTGCAGTGTTGACTGTGTCGTGAAATGTTAGAGTACGATACCTTGAATTGGGTAAGGTATCGGCTTGTGTCGCGATTGGGTTGTGGTTCCTGGGCGCGGAAATTGGAGGATGGATTGGGGAAAGAAGAAAAAAGGTTCAAGGTACTTCCAGGTTTCTAAATCGAGAACCGGGAAGGGGGAGTAGGAGGGCAGATATTGCGCAGGAAGGGGACCATTAAGTGAAAATCGGTGTGGTGGGCTGGCAACGGGCAACGCAAAAAGGGACGCTTCGAGGTCGCCCTTTGTTTACATTCGAAGCAAGGCAGCCAATCGGGAGCTCCCGAGTCACACTCGTACCCAAAGTGCCGCTTGCAGTCGAGCTCTGGGCGGGGGCATCCCAGGCGCGCTGTGCACGGTGGCAGGTTGTCTGCTACCGTGTCTTACCCCACCATCTGGACGCCACACCGCGTTTTTGACCAATCAACAACTTTATAAGGATTGACGAGGCTGAAGACACGTGATTGGCGAAAAAAGTTCCCGGGGGGGCTCCGCATCAAAGCTTTCGCGATGGCGTCCATTTGCGAAGCATTGGGGAGCTTTCTTAGTAGAGGTGTATGACGACGGACGCAAAGATCCACCACTCGACAACCCAATCCAACGACCCGACGATAGGCGCATAGCTTGAATAACGAATCGACGAAATAATCGAGCGGTCGAAATACGCCCACATTGCCCATCATGCCGCAAAAACCGATGCGCCTGCCGCCTGTCAAGGTCCTTCGTGTTCGTAACCCCAACGGCAAGGTAGAACAGCCTTGTATGCAGGTCATGACCTCAGTTCTTGGTAAGTCTACCTATCATGTTTCCTCATTGATTCTTCTTCCTGGCATCTTCTCCTGTCTCAATGGACTTTCCTTGCCCTGGTTCCCAGATGAACAACCCCCCTTCGACGACTACGCAGTCATCATCGTCCCTTGTTGCGCTACATGCACTGACACTCGTTCTCCCACAGCATGCTGGGCCTCAGCAGGCTACAACACCTCTGGCTGCGCCGCCCTCGAGAACGCCCTGCGCGGCTGCATGGATCAGCCCAAGAAGCCCAAGGAGCCTTCGTCCACCGTCAACTACCACCTCGGCCGTATGTACGACAAGATGATACCCCACTCCAAGGGCAAGTAAAGCAGTCGCGCGAGGAAAACGGGGCTCATAGACCGAGCTCGTTGCAAACATGGTGGTTACGACCACTTGGAGATGAAGGTCCTCCCGGAATGGCACACTTCGGGAATGATCGCGCGGGAAATGGCGCTACGTTCACGACAGTCGAACCGACCATGGCAGCAGCAGACGAGGAGTCGGCCGACGACGGTCATATGGCTCGTCTGGAAGCGGTGAAGCAAGCACAGCTAGGGGCATGTGAGATGTACAACCATACTATTACACACGGAATTAGGCGTTCAAGAGGATCGATGTTGTATACTATGTACCATACACGGCGGATAAAAAGAAGACTGGCTACCATTGTATTTCGATTGCTAAACACTTTCCTTATCTCTGATCTGATCTGTTGATTTGATGAGCCAGCCGATGGTGTTCAGCCATTCATACCTCATCTCGTCGGGCAGAACTAACTCGACGATAGAACCTAACCTAATAGAAGGCCAAGAAGCTATGCGTGGTTTCCGAAACCTCGTGCCAAACTTGAAGTGTATATATACCCTCGCCTCTCGAATTCAGACGTGATACTTCTTGCCAGAAACCTCTGAAGGTATCCAATGTAGTTTGGTGTGGAAGACATTTGCGGATATTCATCAACACCAAGAATCTGCATTCCCGTATCTTCACCCTCAAATCTCTAGCAACACGTATAAACGCGTACAGCGAGGGCCTTGATAACGTTTTCCAAAGTATGCTCGCGTCGAAACCAAGAGGATGGCGTTACAGCCTCACTCTCGACACCAGTGTCCCTTACAACGCAACGAAGATCGCTACCATTTGCTGCACTTTTACTCGTGAAACAATCAGATATCAACAGCCTTTACACAAGTCAAGGCACTTTAATCTAGAGGACTCTCTGACGGGGGTCCATCAAGTAGGTACGACCGTCATGAGGCTGATATGCCACTGCTTGATCAGGAGGCGAGTGTGACTAATCCATTCCATAGACACGAGAAGCTAACATCACACGTGTGTTATCGTAGAAAGTTCCCAAGTTATGAAGAGGAATCATCCAAAGGAGCTAGCTGAAATACCGAATTTCCGTACATTCGATGCGCCAGCGGATTTCAATGGCGTACCTAGTATATCAACCACTCAACCACCTCGCAAACCGTTTGACTTGACCCCGACAGGCGCTGCCGTGCTGGTAACAGGCACAACATTGGGGGTATTATAGAAACGCTGGGTTATATAAGGTAGGCAAACGACAGTCAGGTGACCAAGAGCCGTCGACGGCCAGCATTGTATTCAATCGATTTGGCGAATGGAGGGATGGAAGGAGAGGAGACATAAGGAAGCCAACCTTCATGCCACCCCCTTAGGTGTGAGATCCCACCAGGGAGGCCGTGAGTAAACCCCCAAAGGATACAATTAAGGAATTCCTTCATGAGGTTTCGAACTAAAAGCTTAAGTGCCAGATCAATGATCAAGAGGACCGAGATCCACACTCGGGTCTTCCCCTATGAACCCCTCGACCAACTTCACCCGAATCACTTGAGTGACTGGAAAGAGGGAAGAGCCAAGCACTCTCTCGCCTCCACAGACTTGAGGGTTGGGTGAGGGGCGCCCTACTCGGTTCCGGGAGGGAGCGGGCGGTATTTCTTTTCCTTCGTGGTATTATTCTCCGGTATTGGAAATATATTGGACTCATGGCGTGTAGGGGGCGACTACGAGAAGGCATCCAATCTTCTTCGAGCTGACACTGATCTATTGCCTGTGTACTCTTTTGCTCAGCCCCCCACAGAAAAGATCAGAGTTGTTAACCCCTTTCCCTTACCTCATTCGCTTTACCTCCGAGGCATCTGAAATATCTACTATTTGACGTAATGATTTCTTCGCTCCTGTCACCACGCAATACGTAATAAGCACGGAATATGTGCATACTTCATTAGACCATGACGTGGTTGGGAGAAGAAAATCGCGGATATTCTGTTTCCGTTATCTCAAGCAAATAGCACGAGTGAGAAGACGTTGATGATCAAGTCATTCACCCCCGGACCTCCGCCACCATGCTCAGTAATACCCAAATGGCCTCGCAAAATGACATCTATCGAGCCAACTTTCCCATATATGATGAAGACAGATCACAGACATCGAATAAGGCTGCTTTTTTTTTTTTTTTTTTTGCTACCAGCGCCTAAGCTTATCACATTAACAAGCCACTCCGAACCCAAGTCACACAGCCTTCATCGGAAAAAGGAAGAATGCTTGGATTCTAGACTGGGAGATCATGAATGCCTCCAAGCTACTCTTAAGATAGCTTTCAAATGATAGCACTTACATCCAGGGGCAATCCCTAACGCATACTGTCCTCCCTAACGCATACTGTCCCACTACCAATCTCGTCAATTTTCAACATCAACCTGCAACGAAGCACCTTTTCACACGTACAGAAGTGCCATGCCATGGACCCAGAAGACGGTCAACCATACCACTAACCATCACAAAAGAATACTAGAACAGGATAACTCATCCAAGAAGTCGGATTTCAACCAAGTACTCTCTCAGCTGATATGAATATGCAGAAAAGCAGCACCCCCATGATTAGCCGTCACAGGTAGAGAATGAAGGGAAATCGATTACGGTGAATACAGCTAGATAACTCCTTTCCAGAATTGCTGAAGTATCTTTTATAAGTGTATCAAATCACGACTTTTAGGTTACACATCACACAAGTTTAGGCACATAGTAGCAACAACACGAGGGCACAAGCATCACCAAGCAAGGGGCACTCGACATCATCATGAAGGAACAGTAACGCCTGTTCATTGTTCGAATAACCTTTAGCTAGCGCCAGTCAAGAACCCGATCCCCAAACTGTAGCGAGCGACATGGCAGGCATTCTCATTCCCCCCAGGCTGATGGCAGCTCAGTTGCCTCCCCAGCCAAACCCCACCCAGCCATTTCGGCAAAAGCCAGATATCAAAATTCGTCCCCCATCATCAAAGTCGTAACGATCGAAAGTAGGTTAGTCATCCCAAAAAGAGAAATCAACCAAGATAAGAAGTGAAAGTGAAATGGTGGAGTCCTGGATGTATCTGCCCCCTAGAGTTCGATATCAAAGAACCCCGGAGAGGCATATGCAAGTAACACCCAGAGTCGCCCATGGTAGTTTGATGTCAAGTATTTCCAAAAAAGAAGAAAAGGAGCGATCTGGTGAATGAGTGCCGCTGGATACATTCCCTCCGTAGGGGAACGTGTCCTTGAGGACAAGGAAATGTGTGGTCATGATGGAACCGTCTAAATTCTCGTGCGCGAGTCCGAATGCTTCCTGACCGCAAATGGCTGCCGCTACGAACCCCGTGATGTATGGTAGTCTAGCAGCCACATGCTTGTTGATGCGATGCTGAGAGGTATAAAAATGAGGTGAAACAATCTGCTCCGGACGCCATGTATGCAAAGAAATGCCCCCCGGTGGGTATATGGGTATGATGCGCCTGGGAAAGTCCCAAAGTTCTCCCAAAAGACCTACTTCGACATAGAAATGAGGCGCTCAGGCCGTTTCCCCAACGCAGAACAGCTCGATCTCGCCAACGCCTCCTGGCGCAGTGGCGCGAGCTCCCTCTCGCCATTCGATAAAGGCGATCTGAATGTCATCGTCACTGGCAATAGTGACAAAGTCGCCATCCTCGTCCTGGTATCGGAGCTTCAGCATGCCCTTGCTAATACTGCTGTTTGTGAACCGTGCAAGTTTGGCGTCGATGCGATCAATCAAAGACTGGTATGTGATGTTGAATGCAACAACCAGGGTGACGTAATTGCCGCTGTCGACAAAGTTCACCTTGACCTTCAACTGCGTGGGAATCGGCAGGTCGGGGCTGGCAAGCGGGTTTGACTGAGACCCGCTGATCCCGCCGGTGCCAAGAGGAGGGGACAACATCGCATTCATAGACGCAGCCGCGTCGATGCTGAGCTGTCGGTCATGAACAGAGTTTGGCGTTCCCTGACGGGGATAGATTGGCTGAGCTGGGAACTGTGACATGGTGCCACCGTAGCTTCCGGACTGCTGGTGGCCGTACTGGCGTTCTCGCTGAGCGCCCGGGCTCTGAGTGTTTGACCTGATGGGAACGTCATTAACCCTGGGCGAGCCGGTCTGCGACCGCGGGATATTCTGATCGTGGGCTGGGTGCAGGTGGGCTGGGATGCCAGGCACCGCCGGAACAGGAGTGCCCCCTTGAGTGCGACGAATGTTTCCGGGAGCGTTGATATCAGGAGTGCTGTACGATCTGCTGCGCTGCTGCTGTGCCGCGCTCTGGCTATTGGAGGCCATTGCCGGCAAAGAGGGTCCGCGAGGATTCCGGTGCTGTGAAGAGCCGTCCCTCGAGGGAGCTCGAGGCATCGCGGGGGCCGTGTATCTCTGATTGGGGTCTTCCCACCCGGGCTGAGGGGTCAGTGACTTGGGGAATTGGTATCCTGGATTAGGGAACATATTGCTAGCGGTACTCGTGCGCGAGGAAACAGGCGAATCGGCTACAGGTGAAAAGTAAGAGTCGCCGCCGCGGGCCCCAGGTGAAGAAGCACCCGGAGCAGGCACTTGGGTCGAAAGACTGAGAGGCGCTGGTGGTTGCGGAAGAGGGAATCTAGGAGGCGGAGCCCTCACCATACCGGCAAGACTCTCATTAGTTGCGGCGCGTTGCCGCAGGCTTGTGCTTGATGCGTTGCGAGGCAACATGCTGCCTCCTGTGGACTGAGTCGGCATGGGGAACTGGGCAGGGGCAGAGGCAGGTGGCCACAGTTCCTCGTCATCGTCATCGTCTTGCTGGTTAAGATACGGGTTCTCGAGCTTGCCAGCGTTTTCGCGTGTCCAAGCAAAGTCGGGTGCCGCCGAATCGGGACTCGTAGCAGATTTGTTGGGCGTGTTCTCCTTACGTTGCGCCTCAAGGGCGACTGCCCATTTCTTCATCTGCTCCTCGTTGGTGTACTTGATCATGAAGTTCTCCACGCCAGGGTCACCTTTCCACCAGATTTGGACAATGTAGGATCCTGTGGGTTGGTTAGTAACCGAGGCTTTGAAGGGTATGGTTAATTCCACCACATACCAGGCTTTGCGAGGGAGACGATGTCAGTAACGTTCGTCATGAAGATCCTGCCCTTCAACTGGAGTCTCGCATTCTTGTTCCTGATCTTAGGCCCGGTAGATCTTGTCTTGTCCTTCTTGTCCCTGCTCTTGTTCGCCGAAATTTCCTTGCAGCAGAGTAGTATGCATTCGAAGAGGTAAATCTCGTACTACGAAAATCAGCGTTTGGTCCTGGTTGGGGATTGCTCTTTGGTGGTGCGAAACTTACGTCCTTTTCTTGCTCGCTCTTCCCTGTAACGACGGTGTAAACACCATGCATCAGCAACCTGCCAAACTGCTCCACGCGATGATTCTTCCAGTCATCGACACGGTTTCGCAAATCGTCTAGAGCCTCGTCCAAGAGATCCCGGTTGACTTCTTCGTTAGCCTTTGAAAGAACGCGTTCTGCGGACTCGATACCGCCTGCCAAATCGGCCTTGATATCCTCATCCTCGCTCTTTTTCATCAAGTCCTTCAATAATAGAGGGTACTTGACGAGACGCTGCATGGGCTTGAGGAGGAAACCATCCAAGGTGTTGAAGTCTGCGGCCACAGGGTGCCCACTAGCCTTGATCTGGTCAAAGACTTGGTTGGCGACTTGGGCTGCTTTGCGCTGGTTGGCGATGAAAGGACGGTAGATGTCGAATGCATCTTCGTACGTGACAAATGGAGCACCCCAATGCTGTACAGTCTTGGGCATGGAGTTCGTCGTCTCGACACGGATCAGGAATCGGCGCTGGAAATCCAGGATCGCGTTAATGTTGAGGAAGATCTGATGAATGGTGTCGCCAGTAATTATTCCCTTCGTCTCCAAGCTACTCTTCAGGTCGTAGAGATTCTCCAAATCTTGGACATATTTCCGCTCCGTGTCTACCAGTTCCTTCACGATATGATCCCGGTAGCTCAGCTTGGAGCCTGGTTCCATAGGAAGGTCATCTTCGGGGTAAGGCTGGAGCTGCAACAAGAGGCCCCGTTGCTCAGCGATGTCGAGAACGTAATTGACGACTTGGGTGGTCTAAGATAAGGTTAGATGAGGCTATCCTTACTTTACGTGGTTGATGGTGATTTTGAGGTAGAGGTCCCCGTGGAGAAGAGACATCAGTCGTTTCGCATACCTTGACAAAACCAGTCGTGTCATTTCCTAGTACGTCGCTGATGACGAAGCATTCCGCCGATGGTATACCCAAATCCTTGAGACACGCCTGAATGAACTTGAAGAGGGCAATCTTCGCCTTTTTACTGTCGCTGGCACTGGCGTTTGCGCCTTCGATCTCGAGGGGCTTCTCTGGTTGGAGGGCGTTGTAAATGTCGAGTAGCGGATAACCGGTGCGGAACAGGGCCCACAGTGATTCGACAGGGTCATTGGGGTCGAGCTCTTGCAGATAGGGGTCGAAGCCAGGTACCTGTGATAATCGCTGCTTCAACGACATGCAAATCTGGTAAAGGGACCTCGAGGCATCGGCCTTTTGGTTGATGATGTTGGCTGTAGCCTGAACGGGACCTCCATTTTGCGGGGGCGTCACCGTGGATGCGCTATTGAAGGAGGCGAGAGAGCCAGAGGATGTGTACGCTGTCGAGCCGGAAAGCTGGCTGGCGCGGGGCGCATTACTCATGGTATTGGGTAGGCCGCCAATTCCGTTGGATTGCTGGAATACAGGAGCCGTGTTTGTTCTTAGGAGAGGAGCATGAGCCATGACGTCCTAACCCATCCGGTGAATGGAGGGGAGAGGATGTAAGGACACGATGGTCGACGACAACGACGACGACAACGAAGAGGGTCGGGGGTCGTGCGAGAGCCGAGGGGCGAGGCGGTGGAGGATCGATGAAGCGGTTCGTGGTCCTGTGTCGAAGACAGGGTCACGTCATTCGGCACCGGGGTTCGCGAGAGTCGGTCTGGTCGAGTGGACTCGGGATCAGGAGTATCGGTGGTTGGGCGGAGAAGCGACAATGTAGCGGTGGGCGTCGGGGCAGGTTCTCGTGGGCGATGAGCGTCGTCGGGAGAAGGGTATGTTTGTTCTTGGAGGGCGAAAATGAGAACAAGGGGTTTGAGCGATGGGCGTTCGGACTCTAGTATTTCCCCCCCTTGTGGTGATCGAATAGGGCCCCCTCTGTGTGTGTTTTGCCGGGCTTGGAATAGGCGGATGACAAGGAGGAATAGGGATATCTTCGTGTACGGGGTCTGCGTGTGCGTGTGCGAGAGAAAGAGATAGCACGCAGTATGTGTGTGTGAGACAGAAGTGCCGGCGCCGAGAGTCGGTGGAGGAGGGAGGTTGGGCTGGTCGGGCGGGTCTGTTTTTCGAGTCGACGAGTCGAAGTTGCGGAGCGGTGCGGAGCGATGCGGGCTATCGGGGCGAAACGAGTTGCCTTTTTGATCCCTGTCCGGTCCTTGATCCTCCTATTAGGTGTCACTAGTGGTGGGCGATAGCGTGTATCTCGAACAGCCTTCGTGGGCCAAGACGTATTGCGAAATGGACGTTGTTTGGAGGTGTCGGTTGTTGAGGAGTGTTATGTTGCCGACAAAGAATTGCAAGTCAAGGTTGGAGTTGTCGCTGGATTTGGGGACTCTGTTGCAGGACGCAGGCTGATGCAGTTGGCGTGCATGAGGGTGTGTCTTGATTCAACCTGGAGGGGGGCTGGGTTAGGTACTAGGTAGTGAACGGCGGCATGGGAGAAGCAAAGCAAAAGTTTAGGGGGTAAGGCGAGAGGCACAGGCACAGGCAAGCCGTAAAGGCAAAGATAGAGGGGGAGACTATCCGTACCTTTAGGATCTGAGGATAGGTACAGAGTGCGGAAGTGCCTTAGTCTCCGTGGTTGCTTCAACTTGCTTGGGTGCTTGGGAAGGGTCAGGTCAGGCCAGCCAGGTCGGGTTTCCAATCCCCAGTTCCCAGCTCCAGTTGCTGTTGCGGTCCAATCTGGTGCAGCGTCTCGTCGCCCGTGCTCTGCTAATTGCCTGGGCCCCTAGAGTAAGGTATTGGCAGCACGAGCAAGGGGGTGATGGGTACGGATGGTGGGATAGTGGTGGTGGTGGGCGGATGTTGTGTGAGTGGGATGGGGTTGGTTGGGCTAAGAGAGGTCTGAGGATGACAGATTCGGATCCACGTCCCTTGAGCCTTTGAGCCTTCCACGGTGAAGGCAGAGAGAGACGCCCAGCGAAGAGAGAGAGAGAGGAAAAGAGGCACAAAGTGGAAGAGGTAGTGTACAACTGCGCGGTACTGTGGTGGAGAGGCGGCCTCAGGTTGGCCGCATTGATCTGATGGAGGTTTTGGGCGTTTCAAATTAGCGGGTGATTGCGCTAGTCCTAATTGGGCTTGGTCTCCCGTCGCAGTGGACAGATCCACGTCTCCCATTGATTGAACCTGCCCTCGTGGTGCGCGCCCGGTACGTATTGCGATCCCATCAACCTTCCATTCCATCAGGTGTAAGAGTACGTACTGCGAACGGAGTACCTACCTAAGGTACCTAAGGCCTCAGGTAAGGTACAGGGCAAGCCTCGACGGGGAAGGAAGGAACAAATGAGATGGGAATGGGGGCATATCTCTCTCGAGTGCGTCACCGGCCAGGAAGACTTCTATCAAGAATCAGCATCTGTGCTCTCAACAACTCTACAGTATCGTACAGGAATATCGAGATCTCTACCACGGACATAGCGACCGTCGACACCGTAGATCCTTGAAGACAAGGAGTGGACAAGTCTCGAGGCATAGAGGAAGGAGGGCACTCGGACTGACAAAGAGGAGGGGTGTTTTCGAGCACGAGGCAGAGGAACACAAGACCTGGACACATCCGTAAATCTACTTGGCCGGCACTGCATTGTTCGAGAAGGTCGATGGAACAAAGATAGGGGAAACTTGTAATGGAGGGTACGGATAGACCGGGGGCAGACTCCAGCGCATGCAGACTCAATGATACACACAATTCTCTGAAAACTCACTATCCAAACTATATGGATTGAGAAGGGATCACTGTTGAGGATTGCTGGTTACTGTCTTGAGCAGATCCTCCGTTCTGCCCGTCCCGTGTCCCGCATCCTCTTGTTTTCTGACGGCTGTCACTATTATGCCCTGAATGACGAGCATGGAGGAAACGGGCCTTTCCTGGGACGGGTCGCGCGCAAAGTATACCATTCACTGTCAAGTAGGTATCGTATCGACCAACGCTCTGTAGTTTCTACCCTACCGTACATCAACCGTAATCCAACGCTGCCTTGAGCAGACATTTCTAAGCCAGCAAATCACAAGCATCAAGCAAAATTTGTTTTTACCCAGTATTCGTATGCTCACCTTCAAGCCGGTGTCGGGTTGATTGCCATGCCCCCCAATCGTGTCTGCAAGGTACTGGTTGCACGACATGCCTGCCGGCCCCTTTGTTCCCCCGCTGTAGAAATCGATAGATCTATGGTTGCTCTGCACAATGAGCCGACTGCCCACTTGTTGGTCCAAACCCCTCAGGCCACTTGCGCCCAACATGATTTGTATTGCTCAGTCAGAATCGGCCAGAGACATGGAGGTGCAACATCATACGGTGAGCTGTTCGGTATGCTAGGTAGTCAATCAAGATAGACTGCAGAGTAATAGGTCGGTAAGGTATCTACCGCAGTGTCAAAAACAGAGGTACAATGAGGGAATACCCAAGCTTGTAAGTACCTGAGAACGTACAGATAAGACGTCTCGGCTTAGCTAACGCAACAACCGCTGCTCCGATAAGACACCTGGGGAAGCAGCACGGATGGAAGGCACCAAGAAAGAAGGGTTCCTTCCTGCGCCCTCAAAGCCAAATTCTCCATGACCCCTCGTGCAAAGACGTCCTGACCATCTCTTTTACATCCTCCGCAGTCCGTACTTGATGCTGCATATTCCCTATCTTGGGGGTTGCATTCGAAAAACTGACCTCGCTGCGCCTGAACAGCAAACTCGCCATCTCGGCCAAGACCCGAGCAAGACCTGGCCGACCTGCATCGATCGACAACTGCCGTTGCACTCGCAGTCAGTTCATCGCGGTTGGTCTCCCCCCAACATTGAAACTAACGATGCGCCAGGCGCCTTCAAGCACAGCCATCCGGTCGTGTCTGCACTCTTCGGGCCTTCCCCCTTCGCCCACCGTATATCCTGCTGCATATATCGCAAGGCGTCTTCTCTTAGCAAACTTTGACCACGCGTTGCGCTGTCGACTGCTAGGAGCAGTACAAACCCATGGCCCCCTCGCTCTCCAGAAACACCTGTGCTATGCTGCCCGTCAGCATTTTAAGCCGCCCGACCGACAGATTCACTCACCCACATACACAGACGATATCGGTGGATGGGTTCTCAGACAAGTGCATGAGCATCTCCCATCCGTCTGTTGTTTCGATGCTCCAATGCACGGAACTACCCTGCTCTCACGCCGCAGACAGGACATGCGCCGTGCAGCCTCGCACTGCCATCCTGGTCTCTTCTGACTCTGCCGTTGTGCCTCTTCAGGGTCTCGTTCACCTACGCGCCGCTATCAAGGACGACGTTCACCCTGCAATTGTCGCTGTCAGTCTGTCCGGGCACACGGCTACCGACCGCCCGTTGGAGGGCATACCGTCATGTCTAGCTCCATGGCCACAAAACCTAATTCCCTGCGAACCAAGTCCTGGCTGGATATCCAATCCAGAACCGCGGATCAGGTCCCGGTAAGCCACCCTCCATGGGCTGACCAAAACACGTCAAAGACGTTGAAACACCATCTTCATGCATCTGGTAGGCTGTCCCACAAGGCCTGGGAAACAACGGGAGCCTCACATGACGAATTATTTTGGGATTTTCTGGACCACTCAGCCAACGCCTTACAAGGGATGGCCGACATGGGTCAGTGTGGCTGGCCTCCAGGAAGGCGAGCGGAATCCACTCCGAACAAAGGGCGCCCCGGCCAAGTTCCTTCACCCTTCAAGATGCGCTGCAATGTGCTTCAGATTACCTCTCGTGCCTTTGCTGCTTTGTGGAATGGGCTGTTGACACCAAACATGGCGCTCGTCCTTGTTTCTTCCCATGTGCATATCCTGCAAAAAATGAGATACACCTATGCAAGCCCAGTATCGCAGCTGGCCACCTTAGCCCCAGGCTTGGAGGCTTCAACGGTGCGTCTCACTCTCGGCCTGGGCGGTCCGGGCTGGGGCGGTGGTGCGAGCTGCTCGGAGCGAGAGGCGTTTTCGGTGGCTTGATGATGAACACCGGCCCCGTCTCAAGACGGTATGGTTGAGACTCGGCGGCCGCTGGATAGCTCAGAACGATACGATGCGCCAGGGCTGGACAGTTCATGCCATTCGCAGTTTAGCAGACGCCGTCAAAGAGTATGGAGATCAGCCGCGGCACCCGGTCTTTCTTTGCCCGTTGTTTGTTTTCCTTCAGAAAATTGTTTGAGGACAAGACACCACAAAGGCAGCTGGGAATCTGTGACAGCAGAACATCTTCCCCAATGGCATTCTGCGGAGGACGCCAAGATGTCATGATTGGGCTGAGGCTCACAAAGGACGGACAAACTGGGGATAGTCTATCGGGACAAATCTCTCGTGCATGCACCCACGCAAACCACGGCATCTCTCGCGGCCCATTCCTTAATTGGCAGAACTGGACCTTACGGATACGAATAGGGA